CCAGCAAATTCCTAGATGCCTAGCAAGCTGCTAGCTGGGGTCTTAGCTATGGCTGCCTTTGACATAGTTGGTAACCAAGTTTAAAGCCCAGTACTAAGGAAATAACCTAGCCTCCAGAATCCTGGAGTCAGACTAGACCAGCAGGGGTTTCCAGGTCTTCCCTAGACACCCTCCAAACTGTCCCCAGCCTAGTTTTTCTAGCCTCACTTTCCCTTCCCTTTCCCTGCCACTCCCCAAATGCCCCCCCCTTTCCAGCCCGGCCCCTCCCTCTGAGCCGCCTCCTCTGAGTCATTTCCCCTTCCCCGCCCCAAAGACCTTGGCTCTCCGTCGGAATCCCAACCCCGACGGCAGGAAGTAAAGGAAGGGCAAATTGGCTTTGAGAACCAGGTGAGCACTTCCCCCAGCAAGGATGAGAAAGAAATGCCTGCCCTCACCCCTCTGATACAAATAAGGGATGGGAAATCAAGCGAGTTCTCCAAGGCTGAGCAGTTGGCGTCCCCTGCCATCTGAAGATCCTGGTCGCCGAGCGTGAAAGGTGCCACGCCCCGCCCGGTGTCTCCAGGGATATGGGGAAGGAGCAGCGGCCCAGGCAGAAGGGCCAGCGGGGCTGTGGCACTGTGAGCTCAGTGCGTACGTATGGAGGTGTGTGGGGAGATGCAAGTCTGTGGTGCTTTGTACAGGTGCGGATATGGGGGTGTGCCTGTACTGACTTAGAACCATGTGTGTGGGGGGCTGTGTAACAGGAGTGTGCGTGGGATGCGTGCGTGCGAGGGGGTCCGTGCGTGGGGGTGCGTGCGTATGGGGTGCTGCGTGCGTGGGGGTGCGTGCGTGGAGGCGTGCGTGAGGGGGAGGGGAGAACGAAAGGGAAGGCTGACAGCCGGCATGAACAGGGATTGACACTGCCTGCACAGGACCGAGGTAAAGAGAAGCCAGAGAAGCCCTGGCTGACAGCTTGAAGTCATGATTCTTAAGCTCTTCTTTTTTGTTTGTGTGTGTGCTTGTTTGAGGCGGGCTGGGAGGGTGGACATGGACATGGACCCATTGAAAATCTGCAGGAAACTCTTGGCTGTGTCCTCAAAAATTATACCCAGGGTTTGTATGTAAGCATAGTAGGTTGGTGGACTAACAGACTGCCATCTGTAGACCCCAGATTAGAGTTTAAATGGGGGGAGAAGACCCAAATAGGTTACTTGGACGTTTGCCATTGTGTCTTTTAATTTTTATTATTTTTCTTTATTCATGATAAAGTGAATGAGAGAGAGCGAGGTGAGCACTCTCCACAGAGTCTGATTATGGAAAGATCTATCCCCTTCCTGTATGTAGTCCTCCAGCTCATTGGATCTTGGGCACTGGTTTTTTCAGACTGACTGGGCTAAGGATTCAAACCTTGGTTGCTATGTGGAATCCAACTTTTCTTGAGAATGGTATGAGTATTGCATGCAGAGGCCCTATTGTGTATTTCTATTCTGTTAGAGAAGAAATGGAACAGGTGACTGAGCTGTTGCCTAATCTTTCTGTGAGTCTGTTCTTGGCTTGGTGTGGGATGGAGCCTAGATGTGTTGCTCCTATGGTACAGCATGCCTTCAGAGTGAAGATTGTAAAATAGGATCACTTCCCAGAGTTAAGATTGCAAGAGAGTACCCCATGTCCTTCAAGATAAAGCCTGGTTACAATTCACTGAATTCAAGGTTCTTTTTTTTTTTTTTTTTTTTTTTTGAAAAAAAATAGACATTTTTGCTATAGGGCGGGTGTACCAGGGTGGGAGAGACAGAGAGACAGACAGAAAGCAAGAAATCACTCCCCAGGGAGGTATGGCCATGCCACAGTCCCTTCTCCTCCATCATCCTCTCAGGATCTTGGGCATGAACACACACTCCTGGTGTGAGGAGTTTAAGCCCCTGATCCTGCACTTGAACCATGGTCAACTATGTGAGAGTCTAGCTATGTAACCATTATTCTATCTGCTGGTCCCTCAAGGCTCCTTCTGAAGCCTGTCCTATGAAATCTCACCAGCCTCAGGTCTTGCAGGTCAGCTCCTTCCTTATTTGTTGCTAAGGTCAGAACATAGAGAATCCTAGTGTAATTTTTTTTCTCCAAGGATCTCAATGGCCTATTGGTAGTATGGGTAACCCGAGTCTTAGGTTGAGACTTTGTTGGCTAAGTAGCTAGAAGTTGATCAGCAGATTTGAGTTCTGATCCTCTCTTTATCATTAACTGTGTCACCTTAAACAATTTTTCTTATTTTCTTTTGCCTCACTTTCCTCATCTATAAAATGGGATGGTACTGTAGCTTATAGAGTACCTTTTGTATACCTATGTGTGTGTGTATATATATACACACATACACATATATATATGTTTGTTAATTATATATACACATATATGTATGTGTGTGCATATATATTGTATTATATATACACATATATATGTATATATGTGTGTGTGTATATATATATATATATATATATGTAATTATTAAACGACTGCTGATTTATTTTTGGTTTCTTATAGGCACACCTAGTTGTGTAATCCTCAGCTAAAGCCCACTGAGTCCATTCTGCGAAGTCACACACCTGAAGTAAGTGGGAATTATTTGCTATATTCATGTAGATAATGATTAGTCTACCATCAGCTCTCACTTGGATTGTTGTCTTGTTCTTCAAGCCTTCACACTTACCTGCTTCCCTCTTCTTCATTCCCCATGTCTCAGTCAGAGCTTTCTTTCCTTCTGAGACACAGAATAACCTGGTGTGGAGCACAGGCTTTGGAATTAGACAAATCTCCTTCAGATCTCAATTGTGCTGCCCCAGCACTTTCTAGCTGTGTAATGTTGCATAGATTACTTCCTTTTTTTAAGGATCCTTTTCTTTATCTATTAAAGTGGACAAGGGTGATATCTGTGAGGAGTTGCAGAGATAATGCATGTAGAATGGTCCAAAGTAACTGCTCAATAAATGGTAGAAGTGATACTACTAACAAAAGCATGGTTGAGGGCCAGCCCATGATATGTTGTTTAAGGCAGCTGGATCCCCACATGGTCAGCTGCATGGTTTAAATCTCAGACCTGGTGACTTGAAAAACACACCAGATATGTGTGCATGCATGCCCCAAATCCCAGGAGAATAGAGGAGAAGGAATTATGGCATGGCCATCGCCCCTGTAGGGGTGCTTTTTCATTTTCTCTCTCTCTCTCTTTCTTTCTGTCTTTCCAGCAAGCACATACAAACCTAACCCTAATAGTTTTAGGGTTAAATTTTTTGAACAGTTATATATTTTAAACAGTTATATATTTTAAAAGAGCCTGAAGTGATGCACCATGGCACATAGAGTGGATAGGGAGTGCCATGAGGTAATAATGAGCTGGACAGTGGAAGAAATCAAAGCATAACAGATTTTTTTTTTTTATGCTTGAGGGTGTGTACACATTTGAGAGAGAGAGGGCGGAGGAAGAGAGAGAGAGAGAAAGAGATAGAAAGCATCCATCTGGGGCCTGGTCTCTCCACAATAATTTTTTCCTCCATTTTTTTTTTTAATCCCACCAGGATACTGGGGCACAAGCACGCATGTCCGGCATGTTTTTTTCAAGCTGCCAGGGTTAAGATTTGAATGTAGTCAGCAATGTGGCACCCGGCTCTCTTTGCACAGTGCTTAACCACCGCATATGGGGTTGACCCAAAGTACAGGAGATTTTGATGAGAATAAGAAGTGGGCATGCTAAGAACCAAAAAATAAGAGGTAGGAGATTGTGGCCAGCAATTGTGGTAGTGGAGTTCAGAAATTCTAAAGTGGAGTGGCTCCATCTTCATAATGTGATCTAGGACACTAAGGTCTAGAAACGGTATGTGATGTGGCATGTGGTCAGAGGTTGTTGAAGTAGAGGAGATGAAGGGACAGTGAAGCTAGTGTGTTGGGTGACATCCATAGAAATCAATGTTGCTTATATGATGGCAGGGATTGGAATGGAGAGGAAATGGAGCTATTGCCAAAGTCTAAATCTATCCTGATTAATGGGAAACAATCATTTATTTCACAGGTATTTACTAAATTTTTACTAGATGTCAGGCTATAACAACATGGGCAAGGGTCATAATTTGATGGAGTTTAATAAGAGTGAGAACAGACATTGATAATCCTATCTATAGATACAGAACTGCAAACTATGATAAGAGCTTTGAAGGAAAAATAAGAGATCTCTAAGTGCTTATAACAGGAGAACCTGACCCAGTCTGGAAGGTCAGAGAAGGCTACCCTGAAGAAGTGATGAGAACTGAAGGATAGATTGGGATAGACGGAGGTAGATGATGGAAGGAGTGTCACAGGTAAAAAACAAAAACACAGCATGTGCAAAGGCCTGAAGCTAGAACATACACAGTGGATTTGAAGGACTGAAAGATACTCCTATGGCTAGAGCCAATCCAATGATCTCTAGCCATAGGAGAGAGTTGTGAGCTGATATCAGGCCCCCTTAAGGATTTTGGGCTTTATACTAGAAGCAGTAGGTATATTCCTATTAAAGGGCTTTAATTAAGTGAATAGCATGATCAAATTTCTCTGTATTTATGTGTTTTTTTCTTAAATAATGTATAAGTATATATTCATTATTTTACAAATCAAGCAGCACAGAATTTATAGGCTATATTTCAAAAGGCTAGTTTATGTATATGCTAGTGTGTGTGTATTACACCCACATATATGAAGTACACATGTATAATAGTAAATACATAAAATTATGTACACATATATAATACGTAAAAATGATATATACCATTTAAAAATTTTTGCTATAGAGTGTGTGTGTTCACTGGAGAGAGACAGCAGAGAGAGAGAGAGAAACTAAAAAAGCACCCCTGGTGGGGGGATGTCCAAACCTCAACCCCTTCTCCATTCTCCTTTTGGGATTTTAGGCATGCATGCACATGTTCCCAGCACGTTTTCAAGCCATCGGGTCCAGAACTTGAACCACACAGCTGGCCATGTGGGATTCAGCCACCTTAACCAACTCGCCATCCGCCGACCCCAATATGTACCATTTTACTGCTTAGATAATGTTTAAATTGGGACCAGCAGATGGCGTAATGGTTACATCGCTGGACTCCCATGTAGTTGACTGTAGTTCAAGTCTCAGACCTGAAGGTTTAAAATTCACACTGGGTGCATGTGCATGTGTGCCCAAGGTCCTGAGAGGAGACTGGAGGAGAAGGGATGATTTGTGTCTGTCTCTCGCTTGTCTCTCTGGCAAGTGCACATGCCCTATAGCAAAAAATCTCTCTAAAAAAAGGTTTAAATTTATAAATTATGTTTCCATATTTAGAGAAATATACCACGTTCTTGATGTGTGATGACTTATTTAATTGTTGCCCTATTGATGGACATTTACATTGTCTCTGTATATTAATTTTATAATGTGTCATTTTATAAATTTTTCATTTTTCTTTAATATTACATTTTGATTTTTAAAAATTACACATGGAGCACATGAGGAATCCATGAATTTTTTAAAAAGATACATTTATTCAGTGTCTTTATCAGACTGTTACATTTAGCAATCAATAGCATGGGTACAAAAAAATCTACATTAAAACCCTTCGTTGGAATGCTTTACACTTTCCACAGAACAGAAACTAAAATAACCTGTTATACAATTAGTCACAAACACAGTCCTTGTATTTTTTGCCCATACACATGAGTATTGTCTAAAACATGTCTTCTTTGTAGCAGCTAGGCCCTGCCACCACTGTGCTTGGCTGAGTTCACAAATCTGTTGTAACCTGTAGCTTCCCTGTCACTTCTCTGGCTCTCTCTCCTGCTAAGCTTTGTTTTCTGGCAGGTAATTAAAGCCTTCTGCCACTGCCATAGCTACTGCTGCTGCTGGAACCACCACAGCCACCTTGATTTCATGGTTTGGCAAAGTATTGGCCTTCAACACCATAAGGGCCAGAGCTTCTGCCTCCCAAATTTCTACCCTTCATGGGTCCAAAATTTGAAAACTGTTTGTTGTAATTGCCAAAATCATAGCTTTTACCACCTCCAAAATTGCTTCCATCATTACCAAATCTATCATAGCCATCGCAACTTCCACCGTATCCACCACCACCATGGCTACCACCAAAGCCACCACAACCACTGAAGTTTCCTCCACAACCAAAGTTGTCATTACCAACAAAACTACCTCCACTACCGCCACCTAAGTTTCCAGAAACACTTTGACCTTTTGGGTTGGAGGAAGCACAAGCCATCTCTTGTTTGGACAGGGCTTTCCTTACTTCACAGTTGTGGTCATTCACATTATGGTATTTCTGAATAACAGAGTCATGATCATCACAGGTTACAAAAGTGAAGTCCCTCTTCTTATCATTGCCTCGGTCAGTCATGATTTCAATCACTTCAATTTCCCATACTGCTCAAAATAATTTCTTTGGTGATGTTCTTCAGTGTCTTCTTTAACACCACCAACAAAGATCTTTTTCACGGTTACATGGGCACCTAGTCTTTGAGAACCTTCTCTTGAGTTAGCCCTCTTTAGTTTCACAACTCTTCCATCTACCCTGTGGGGCTTTGCATTCATGGCTGTACCCACCTCCTCCATAGTGGCCCCTGAAGTGCTTGGTGTTTGGGTATCACAGTACCACACAGTCCGCGAGCGCTTCCCATTGCTCAAAATGCCTCCTTGGGTTTTCATTGGTTGTTTCAAAACTCAACCCTCCAATAAAGAGTTTCCACAGCTGTTCTGGTTTTTTAGGAGACTCCAACTTAGACATGACTGCAGTGAGAAGAGAGACTTGAATATGCTTTCCCAATGGTGTTCACAGGCAGAAAGGTGAACTTTTTCTAAAGAGGTTTTTTGCCTTAGGGTCCATGCACTCTAAGAGAAAGACAGACAGTGAGAGGGAAAGTGAGAAGTCACCTCCCCTGGGGGGGTGAGGGGGATGGCCATGCTGCAATCCCTTCTCCTCCATTCTCCTCCTGGGATCTTGGGTATGCAGTCACACACACCCTGTGTGAGTTCCAAGTCAATGGGTCTGGGACTTGAACTGTGGTCAGTCATGTGAGAGTCTAGTGACATAACTGCTATGCCATTTGCAGGTCCCTCCGTGAATATTTTTAATAGAAATTTGTAATAATGAGAGTAAATGCTCATATAGTCATTAGTCTACCACATGTATCATTCTGAGTGTTTTAAATAGATCAGAACATTTATTCATTGAAACATTCCATGAGATTAGTACTGTTGGTTTTCCCATTTTACAGATCTTGAAATTGGTATTTAGTTTTTCCATTTTACTGATGGAAATACTGAGTCACAAAGCAGTCAGGTAACTTGCACAAGGTCACACAGCTGATGATTGCTGGAGCTGTATTTTTTTAAAAAAAAGTTTATTTCTTCTGAGAAAGGAGAGAAAGAAAGGGAGAAAGAGAGAAACAGGCACCCTCAACAGGATCTCATGCTGCAATCCTCTCCCCAGCCTTCTCAGCCAGGATCATAGACACAAGGCTGACCTGGAATCAAACCCTGATCTTCCATATGGATCCAGCTGTGTGTTACTGCTGTGCCGTTGCGCCTTACCCAAAGTTGTGCTC